ACCATAAATATAATAGCCCCATTTAACTATGTGACTGATTTTATAAATTCTTGTTATGCATTTAGGTCAACAAACTCACACACAACAAGTTGGTCGGCTCCAATTTCAGTGATGTCGCCATCTAGGGGGCGACAAGTAGAAACGCAGGTACAATATAAACTACTATTTTTCATAGTATTGAATTTTGTATACAAGTGTTTTATATATTATCTTGTTAAAATGTATATTTCTAACTTTTTTTTAAAACTTTGCCCCACACTAGGATTATCTCCTGTGTCGTGGGTGCGTTTACAAACATACAAGTTCAAATACACATGACACCCAGACCCGAAACAACAGTTTGTGGATCACACAAAGTGTTGTTCCGTGCGGGAATCGAACCCGCGACACGTTGCACGGCAGCCGGTTGCCCAGCCACCGCACCAACCGTGCAGTCTTAACCTAACATAATTATTTACAAGAAATAAATTAGATAATTGTTAATTTTACAGCTTATAATCAGATATTCGGGAGGCGAAGGTAAAGAGACACACTGCCGTCAATCGACTCTTCAAATCAACTTGGAACTTCTTCCGAGCGTATCTATTACACACTGGGATGTTCTGCCAGCAGAGATGTAAGTATATCATTACGTAAATATAACTTTAAATAAAAGTTATTCACACTTTTAATTAGTGCTGTTTCTTATCTAGATTCTAGATAAGTTCTAGATTCTAGAACTTTTACTTTGTTTCAGTGCAGGTAAATTGTTAATGTAGGTGTAGTAGATAAATTGTGAAAAAATATTTATTTCTTTGTTTTTCCAGTCCTTCTCAACTTTACCTAGTACTCGACGTGACAAACTTGACATCAGAGGAGATGGACTTCCACTACGCTCCGAGCAAACACATCCTGATTGAGAGCAAGGAGTCGTGTCGAGTGCCCGTGCCACTGGACCGGTGCCCCTTTAATGCTACAGCCAACAAACCTGCTGATGAAGGTATTCTAGCGACATCTGTTACTTGAAACCAATAACTTTGATTTAAAAAAGTTTAGTACACAATTTGGGGTGACTGTTTTTTGAGGAATATTTTCTGATGACAGAGTGATGGTTGATCACAATCACACTGGAATGGCTGAAGTGCTTTTGAATGTAAACAGAATATGTAATAATAAAAATAAAACAGAGATACTGATTAGTGAAGATTGGTCTAGAATTCTAGAATATGATCTAGGCTACTTTTTTCCAATTTATTTTGGGCTACCACGCAAGCGTAACCACTTGTACAAGCTAGTGATATGTTCCTAATTAGTGTTCCTTTACAGATCTCGTTGAATCAAAATCAATAAACACGGGTTCATCCACAAACAGCTTGGAGTTGATGTGTTCGGAGCACATCACGAACAATATATCGCTGCGCTGGCATCTGATGCAGTCGGACATCACGGGCCGAGCGTCCGTCAAGGGCATCACGCTATCACAAGCTATGATGGACATTGTTAGAATGTCGCCGTTGAATTGGGGTAAGTGAGAAATGAAACTACAAGCTGTGTCGGTTAGCGCGTTAAATGACAGCTGTTAAACATGTACAAAGTTCCCTTTCACGTGTCTAACAAATAGTACTTATAATTTTTTAATAGTAAATTAATAATTATAATGGTTTAATCATTAGTAGACAGAAGTTTACTATAAAAGATTCAGTTGATTAATTATTGATTAAATAACAATTTGTTAAGCTTATATGGCTTTATGTTTATTTATTTGTTTTTAGATTTATAACACCAACATCATAATTATATTTTTAACCCTGGCTACACAGACAAATAGTGATAAATAAGAACTCCAAAGTTTCAGTAATTATTTATTTGAGAATTGTCAACAAATATTACATAAACAGCTTACCCAAAACAGAATCACTTAAAATTTCGCAACATGAATAACAACTATACAAAACAAAAACTAGAATAACATACTTCATTAGTATTTTAATTTCTCCCTATACAGAAGTGAGTGTCAACAGCCAGTGTATAAAGCCGCAAGAAGAATACAACTGTACGGCGGGAGAGTGTCTGTCCCTAGGAGTGGCAGTGTGGAACCACCTCAGTAGACCTCTACACAAACTCTGCCTGTCCGTACAGTTCTACCAGGACTATAACAACGGAGTACTGAGCTACAAACTTGATAACAGAGTTGCTACCGCTGGGAATAATAAGTAAGTACATACAAAGCATGGTAAACGGTCACCATAGCACAGCCTAGCCTAGGTAACCTGCAATACTGGAGGCATTAAGTGGGCTGTCAACTACAAAGAGTTTCGAAAGATATGAAATGGACATGAAATCTTTTGTACTGAGGATTTCACACCTTCAAAGTAAAACCGTTTTTAAACGAAAATTTTCATGAATTGACTATTTACACATCCTAAAATAATGAAATGGCATTAGCTCAATTCGGTTCACTCATTGCGGTCTATTCAAATTCGGTCTAACGGTTTTATTTTAAAGGTGCGATTTGACCTACTGTTTCGTAGTTTCATAAAGCCCTTCTTCAGACATATTAACATCATATTGGACTTTTTTCTTTCACACAAAATCACATGAGGATAGTAAACCTCCAAACCCTTTAATCGTTTTTATTTTCCTTTCAGAGTGGTACTCACAACATTACCAGAGTCAGCAAAAGCATACCACGAGTGCACCGTTGTGTTCCTGACTCCAGGCGAATATAAAATCGACATTCAATGCTCCACTACTGAACCGATACTTGACGAAGTTCCGCTCATCAAGGAAACTGAACACCCATCGATAATACAGCCTTGCGCCGGAGAAGTCAGCCACATTTGGCGGTTTATACCTCCTGTAGCTATAAGTGTTACTGATTAAAATTAAATTATTGAATACTCGTTTTGCACTTGGAGTGTATCGTATGACGCGCTTAATCCACAAAGTATCGTCAGCATTAGCCGGCGACAGTTCACTGCTGGACTATAGAGTTTCTCTACATAAAGATCGTTTATCATAATCTCTTGTGGGTTAGGGATTGCAGTATTATGTATCACAAAGTATATCGATATGCAATTACTATATCATTTTAACGCTAGCGACACCCTCCGTGTGCAAAAGGATATGAACATTGTTGTTCGCAAACGATTATAATGACGCCGACAAGTCAACTTTTAGCGTTTGCGTGCAGCTGACACCAAAATTATTAAATTATTTACATATTTATGACTGTATTATTTAAAAGACTTCATTTATGTCTGAAAAAATATATAAAGTTTATATTATTCAATTGGGTCTTTTATTTAAATATGACAATTATCAATTGCAAAAAATCGCAACCTCTCTAGCTAGATGCACAAATTATTTGAAAACCCTACCCCCTACCCCTAGACGTAGGTACACTCCCCTATACTTATTATACTCTTTGCACTCCCCGTCTCTGGAACAAAATATTTGCTGATGAACTTCTAGGGACAGCGTCCGGAGGTTATACGCCGGGGTCGTGCGGTCCATGGCCCCACATGGCCCTCTACGGCGCCGAACATGCTGCGGCGTCCCGCTCGGACGCTGCTCATGTCACAGAGGGTCATGGCGATCCGAATGATCCGCGGATACCGCACGATCTCCGGGGAGTCGGTGAACCTCCTTGCCGGATTACCGCCGTGGGATCTGGTCCGTCGTACGTCGCCGGGGCGAAACTCCGCTGCCGCGCCAGATAAGTGCGTGGCGGTATGAGCTCCGGCGCGATCTCATGGCGGAATGGCAGCAACGACTGTCGCAACCTAGGGCTGGGCTCGCTGCCATCGCAGCGGTAAGTCCCTTCTTTGAGGAGTGGCTTGAGAGACGCTACGGCGTCCTCACCTACCGCCTGACGCAGGTCCTCACCGGACATGGAAGTTTCGGAAGGTACCTGTGTCTGATGGGGCGGGAGGAAACGCCCGGGTGTCATCACTGCGAGGACCACCTTAGGACACGGTGGAACACACTGTAGCGGAATGCCCTGCGTGGGCTGAGCACCGCCGTGCCCTCAGGGAAGTGATCGGCGATGGCGACCTCTCGCGTCCGGGCCTAGTGCAGGCCATGATGCGGAGCGAGGGGGGCTGGGATGCCGTCTCCTTCTTTTGCGAAGCAGTCATGCTAGCTAAGGAGGAGGCGGGACGCGTGAGGCAGCGAAGCGCTGCATCCTCGCAACCCAGCCATCGCGAAGGACAACCGGGTGTCGGGGATCGCGGGACGATCTCCGGCCACCGTAAGCGCGGGCCTGCGGAGGGCGAGCATGGGTGGTTCCCCGTCCGACCAGAAACAGACCCGAGCGTACGGCGCGTCGCGTTCCGCGCGCGCCTCAAAGAGCCATCAGACCGCCACAGATGGGGCCCAATAGGGCTGATGCCGATTCGGAGTTGCGGAGAACCTAACGGGTAACCGGGGCTCTGGCTCGAAGGAACGGGGTGGTTTTTAGTCAGTAAGAGTCTGACACTCCCTTCCGCCTCACCCAGGCGGGAGCAGTCATTCGATGATTTTCCCCCCTTAAAAAAAAAAGGGACAGGGTGCAAGTGACCTTGGCCTGTAATGCGCCTATTTATAAAATCTCAAACATTTTATGTCATTAGTTACTAGTTTTGGAGGGTAGAAATAAATAGTATTTATTTATATATTCAGTTTTTTTGTATTCAGTTTTATTAAATGCCATATTTACTTGGAACGGAACGTATTACAAAAATGTTGTATTTTCCTGTTACCTACTGTCAATATTTGACAGATAATAATAGCATTCCATAGACTTTTGTTGTTGGAAACATAGTTTTAATCTGTCTCTTTCTTTCCAAAGGAAAAAATGTGATAAAACTAAATAAGGTACATTTACATGCTGAAGATGTCTTATCAATGAGATGGAATTACAATAAACACATTGTTTGGTTTCTGTTGGAATCATACGGCTTATTTTGTTTTCGTAGATAGAACCACTTTTTAAAACATTCAAGCAGTGAAGAATATAATACCTTACCTTACGTACCACGATGTCTTCAATGTCGGCTACTCACTGTGCCATTGAAAACTGCCGAACAACTATATTAAACAAACCGCCGGGAGTTTCGTTTCATCCGTAAGTTAAACCTAACCGTATAATATTTAGAATTTATTGTCCAAACTGACCCTACATCACAGACTACTTTAGTATTATCATATTTGCAACTGCAACGCATCCGCTGTTGAACTCCCCCAATAACATTCCGTTCAATTGTATGCGTTCAGCATTCATCGACTCACTACTTTTACGTTAGCATTTTAAATTACAATAATTTTGCAGTATGCAACCTTACCAGGAACATATTAATGTGTAGTAAATACTTCTGTTCACAGATGTCCAACAACTAATGAAATGCGCAAGCGATGGCTGAGATTGTTAAAAAATAAATGTTCCATGTTAGACTGGTACAAAAGCCAAATCTGTTCTAAACATTTTGAACCAAAATTCTTTGATTCTCAAAGAAAACTGAAGGAGAATGCAGTGCCCACTATCTTCGCACCTTCTCTACCAAAACTTGCTGTTGCAAAATCTGTGAAGGTAATTCAATAGTACTTTAAATATCCCAATTTTCCATCTATCAGCCCACAGTCTCCCGCCACTGCGATCTGAAATGTCTAGTTTTGTGTATCTACTGCCCAATAATATGTTTATTTTTTTTTTTTTTGGTTTTTATGCCCCACACTAGGATTTTCTCCTGTGTCGTGGGTGCGTTTACAAACATACAAGTTCACATACACAATGACACCCAGACACGGAACAACAATTTGTGGATCACACAAAGTGTTGTCCCGTGCGGGAATCAAACCCGCGACACATTGCACGGCAGCCGGTTGCCCAGCCACCGCACCAACCGTGCAGTCAATAAACCAATAATAGTTACAATTTGATGATTGCAACTTACGTGATCACATTAAATTTACTATGACTACATTTTTCATATAATTGCTTTAGCTTGAATTGAATCTATCATAATATTGCTATGTTTAGCCACAGAATAAACACATGAAGCTAGATTCATTACAATTACTGCCAAGCAAACTTGTTGCAAAAAAATCTCCTAAGCTTACACTCAATAAAAAGGGTTTGGCAACCAAGTCTTATGAAACTGAACCACGCTATGTAAGTCAAGACATTTTATGTGAGAATATTATATTTAATTCTGTAGATTGTGATTTCTAACCATAATCAAGTTGTTATATTTATTTAGTATGTGTTGTGTAATAGTCACCTATGAAATAAAGCAGTTTTAGTTTTTTCAGGCAGACCTTTATATTGTAGAACTTTGTGTGTTTATTCTGTAATTTAGTTTCAACATTTTAATATATCATTACAATAATTGTAATTATGTTGTATCGGTAAATTTTCCAGGATCCACCAAGAACCAGGATTGATAGGTTACTGCACAAACTTACACAGGCTGAGCTGACAGCCAACATTAAAACCAGTATGAGCAAACTAAAAGAACCAGCTGACCTAGATGCATTTGTTTCTGATGACCTAAAGTGCACTCCAGATGCCCCAAAAGAGGCTGTGTTATGGCTCATGGTAAAAAAACAAGAACATTTGAACAACAGACTAATGGACTTGGTTGTCCAGACAAAGAAACATGTGGAAATTCTCCAGAATAATTCTGAAGAAGCAAAAGTTGCTAAAAGGGAAAATGAACATACTATTGAGTCTCTAAGATATGTTGTAAAATGTCTCCAAGAGAAGCATGCCACACTTGAAGAACAAATTGAGATACTGACTTCTGTGGAATCGAGATAGAAGCATTATAAAGCGTAGTTGAAGCCACAATTTATTTTTAACATAATAGGACTTTCAGACTCAATTAAATAAAACATGTCTTTAAATAAATTATTGTTCTTTTATTTACTTACTTATTTTAGTTACTCTTATGTATAAAATATAGTTAATGTTTATTATTGGGGATATTCCTCAAAACACACTAAATAATCTTGGAAACACTAATGATGAAAAAAAGAGATGAGCATTAAAGATTTTAAAAGCTTACAGGAAATATAGTTAGTACTGGTGCATTTTGAGGAATACCCCTGAACACATTCAGTCTCACAGTTAAGAATCATGATCATAATAAAATTATAATGACAATAAATAAATTATTTTTACTCAATTTAAAGATAGCAATCTCTATCTTTGTTTCATCTGTTTTTCTAATATTTCCCTCAATTTTAATTTCTTGTTTGTTTTATCAGACAAAGGTCTACCAAGAGGAATTACTTCCATTTGTTGCAAACGTCGTCTAAACCTTTGGTAGAATTCTAGCACGTTAGGATCGGCCCAAACATGGCGTGAATCGAAATCTAGGACTCTCAGGGTATCTAGACTTTGTGCTCTACTTAAGGCCACATATGCTTGGCCAGCCTCAAATATTTTAGATAAAGACATTTCTACACAATCTAGAGTCAAACCTTGAGATTTATGTATAGAGAATGCCCACGCAAGATTCAAAGGCACTTGTCGTCGACACAGCAATGATCCATTCGAATTTTTAACATACCAACGCTCAGTTCTTGCTGTGTATTCCTTTTTATTTTTAAACCTCACGACTGGAAACCCTTCCTCAAACCTTACAACAACACCTCTAGCCCCATTCACTAGACCAGCATTAACATTAACATTTTTTAAAAGCATCACTTGAGCCCCCACTTTAAGTAACAATTTTGAGGGAGCAATAGTTTGCATGTCAAGTAGTTTGGTGGCATTATCACTGTCTTGGGAGGTAAATATTTTCTCTTCACCATCCAAGTCACTAAGCTTGGAATCATTTATCATTTTTGAGTCATTTGTATGTGAGCACAACCTTGTAGCTAGAATGCCATCACTCTCAATCTTCTGTCGAGATGTCCCAACAAGACGGTCACTAATTTCTTTAGTAACTCTACCGATCCTAATGCTGTTAAGGATAGAAATAAATTCTGAGTCTTTCTGTCTATGAACTTGTTTAAGTTCAAAACACAGTTGAATACATTTATCCCAGCAAGGTGACTGGAAGCAGAATCTCTTCCCATTCTTGCCTTTATCCACTACTGGTGGTAACTGCAGGAAGTCACCACATAATATAAGCTGGATTCCACCAAATGGTTTGTCATTTTTCCTTACATGCCTTGCCACAGCCTCCAATTTCTGAAAACAAATTTTATAAATTAATTATAGCCTCTTTGATGCATGCCGGGACTGCAAATGTCTCAATGTTATGTTAATTACCTTCTCTTACCCTGTTGCTACCTAATATCATTTTGTCATTAATTAATCATTATCATTAGTTTTATTATAATAATGAAGATATTTGTTTAGTGTATCACTAATTAAGTAAATAGACATTACCTCAAAGAAACTACCATCAACCATGGATATTTCATCAATAATGAGGTGTTTACATTTCCTCCACTTCTGTGCCACCAGCGGTAGTTTCATGGCTCTCTCACAGAGATGTTCCAAGGTTCCACTACCATCTCCTATACCAGCAAATGCATGAAGAGTTGTCCCGCCTGAAATAAAGGAAAGATATAGATTGCAAGTTCATCAGGTACTAAATCAGAGTTCTTTTGAAGAATACAAAACATTTATAATACTCACCAACATGGCAAGCAGCAACACCAGTAGAAGCAGTAGCAACAGTGACATCTGGTGGCAAGGCAGTCACAATTCTCTTCAATAGAAAGCTCTTGCCTGTTCCTGCAGAGCCAGTAAAGAATATGTTCTTCCCCCCAAGACAAGCATCCAATACTCTCTGCTGCTCAGGGTTCAGAGAACAAGTGTTAGTCAATGGTGACGGAGAATACAACTTCTTTGGAGCAGGACCTTTCACACTATCCTCATTTTTACGTTTCTTTGCCGGCGGCGAAGGAGTTGTCAACGTAGATTTAGGGATTTTCTTCTTAGCATTATGGATATCCGCCACAGTAACTGGACTTATTTCCTCAAAGGCTTGAGCTTTATTACTTAACAATTTAGACCGCATCGTCTGCTTTGCAGGTGTTGTGTTACTGCCTTGATCTTTGTCTCCAGTCATTTTAACGAATATTGTTCGCAAAAAACCCACGAGGTTAGTAGGCGGCGCATTGGATATAAACAAAGTGCAACCAGCTTCTTGAAACTTTATGCTGGCCTTACCTTCAACCATGAACTTTTTAAAAACATTTACACTCTTCAAAGCAAACCTAATAGCAGCATGTTTCTCACTTGTTATCTCCATAAACATCTCTCGAAATTCGTTTCGTATTAACCGAAGCGAAGCAGTCTTGTAATTTACTTTTCGCGTAATAGATCCTTGTGTCATCCATTCTAAAGTCACTGCACATGATAAAAATGAATCTCCTCCTTCCATTTTCACTAGAAGATACACTGTTTAATTCATAAATGAAATTATTTAGATAAAACTAATACAAAGGCGCGCAAAGTTTATAAAATAACTGTCAGATAACCATTGACACTTTGACAGCACAACTACAATGGCGGGTGACGGAACTTCAAGCGACGCATGTCATTGACCTTTCTTTAGCACCCAGGCTTTTGTCTTAATTTAAAAAAAATCTGAGCGTGCTTTCATTTTGTGATTCGATAGAACCGACCACACGACCGTCAAAAAAATATTTTTATTAATGACTAGTACTAAAATACATTAGATACTAATTATTTTTCCACCAATGGGTGCTAGTGAAACTTGAGATATTGACGAAATAGAATATTATTTGCATGTGAAATCATTATCACTTAGTTAACGTTTACTATTTAATTTCACTAAGCTGATCGATTCTTTTCTTCTCTTATAATATCTTCTGATTCATTTCGTTGCGGGAACCAAGACAGTTACTCATGTCCCTGGGACGCGCCGGACTTCAGTGTTTCGGTGTTTTCATGGTTGTATCTACTGTAGATCCTGGCTTACAGGAGTTGCAGCGGTTTTGGGAGGTTGTGGCGGGCTTGTCCCATAAAAAAAAAAGCTGATCGATTGAAAAGAGAACTTACAGAATTACATTTAGAAATTAAAACCCTATTTTCTTATTGGGACACGAATAGGACGGCTTTACAGATATATAAGTAGACAGGTCGGCTAGACCGGAATAACATCAAGGCTTCACGGAAAACCAGCGTGATGTGATGCTTTCATTGCACGAACGAGGGTATTCCATAAAAAATATTGAGTCTTTGCCATAACAAATATTGAGTCACAACTTGGTCAAAATGAAGTTTCATACAGATACTATATGCATTAGTCTTATCATATCAGTGATGCATCACAAACATCTGGCTGGATCAGCTCAAAAAAATTGGTAGCCGCCATTTTTTAAAAGAAATAAAATAAAAATAAAATCTAATGGCGTTTAACAATTTTTTTCACGAAATGTGGACTGTTTTTTATTATTGTTATAATAAAAAAGGTTGATATAAAAGTTCGGTTAAATACGTATATTTGCAGTAAAAATAATGTAACATTGTAACCCCCCTCCCCTTCAGATCCTTTGTATTAATTTACGTACCTACATCAAAACTGGAGACTGATCTAAAGCAAAAAAATAATTATCAATCCTCCTTGTGTATTTATCTGTATTAGCCTTAAAAGCCCCTTAAAAAATCATCATCAACAGCCTATAAGTGCCCACTGCTTAGCAAAGCCTCTTCTAATACGGAGAAGGTTTGAACATTAATCACACGCTTGCTCAATGCAGGTCGGCGTTTTCAAACTTATGATTAGAAATTAAAAGTCCAGGTCCAGGTATCCTCACAATATTTTCTTTCACCGTTTGTCAGTGGTGTCTAAATAATCTTAGAAAGTACATATAACTCGGAAAAAGTCACATTAGTACTTACCGTTGGTAGGTTTCGAACCCGCACCATCAAGCAGGAGAAGCGGTCTTAAAGTCTTAAGCAGCGAAGTCCTAAAAAATAAATATTAGAAGAATCACTAAAACAAAGTCGCTATCCGCTGTCTGTCTGTCCCTATGCATGCTTAGATCTTTAAAACTACGCAACGGATTTTGATGCGGTTTTTTTAATAGATAGAGTGATTCTTAAGGAAGGTTTAGATGTATACGCATATTGATTGCACCCGTGCGAAGCCGGGGCGGGTCGCTAGTTTATAATAAGTATAAGAAAATACTTTATTACCGACAGGGTTGTAGTGACTCCAGGCTAAAGAAGTAGTACAAACCCTCAGAATATCAAAGTTGTCATGGTAAGTACGTATAATGAATGGCAAATAATGAAAAGTTTAAGACATTTATTTGCCTATTTCAATTGCAATTTAGGCAGTCCGGCTGCCTAAATAGCAATAGGCATAGGCATAGGTATAGCAAAACTTGTAAAACTTGAATTCACGCGGGCGGGACAGGAGGTTAGGTGCAGATGTAGGTAGTTTCCTAAAAATAGAAGTAGTGCCAGCCAATGTGCCATCCTATATCTAATCCGATAAAATCCACACTACTTATGTCTACAATAGTTATCATCTATTAGAAAGAAGTGACAAAAAATATTGAGACAACAACAGTTTGAAACTTCGACTGTAAATTGGGTAGGCAATCTGTATCACAGCATAATGTAGGAATGTGTACCTACGTACCTATGCCTATACTGACTATAATAAACAACACACTGTGCCCAAACAGAAGTTGATATATACCAGTGCAAAGGTAACGTGATCCTCTTATAAAACAAGACCATATGAATTCTGAGGCTCGCTGTGCAGAAATCAGCTCATCTCGATATGACGCAACCGTACAAGCAGACGCCCGCCTCGTCCGCCGGCCCGACAAGTGAATTTCATTACACATGCTATATTTCAAAAGCCTACTGTGACATTAACCATTGCTCGATGCCAAACGATATGAGGTCATCAGTCAATCTCTTTGTAGTTTCACTGCACTCAATGTTCCAGAGTTTCGCGCAAATCGATCTTATATCGCAACAAGTAAGGCACAACATTCAGACAGCGCTTTGGCACAACAACTATGTTTTCGTTTTACTGAAAATATTAAGACGTTTCTCATCTTATGGAGCAGTTAAACAAATTATTTGCAGTTATAATAACTACACTGCTACTCCGAGTTTAGGCTGGTTTAAAAGTGGCTAGTAATTTAGGATGTGTCGCGTTTTGTAAATATAGGTACTTTAAGTAGGTATGAGGACGACGGAGGTATCAAAATAAAATGATGCGTCGATATTGCGGGTACAGAGCACTGAAACAGTGGCGATACTTTAATGCGAACGGAAGTCGCCACTAAACATATCAACGCCGTTTGATTTCAAAGTAAATACGATTATTTTCGCGATCGTTTGAAAATATACCTACTTATAACGCTGATAGAAATACGTAAACCCATAACGAATATGACAAACTTTAGAATGGGAAATCTGATTAAAATTTCCTCGAAGAGTAGTTCGGTCCCAACATGATGCTCATAAACTTATGCGTCGATTTTATTAGTCATAAGGTGACGGGTTTCTTTTAATAAGTCATAAAATATCAATAAAATAGTTTTATGGTCTATTTGTTATAAACAATTATTAAAATGTTACAGTTTGAAACTGCACGTGATGCTCATAGAATGACGGCTAAGCCCAAGTCACACAGGTTTTGATATTTCAAGGCCTTTTATTGGGCCGATAGCCAGATATTTAGGTACTTAGGTACCCTAACCGTAATATCTATTATCTATATATTTATATTGTTCTAAAATATCTGAACGTCATGAAATAAACGAGAATGTGACAACCACTACACGTTATGCCTATTTCATCACTGCCGACCCTCATTTCACATTGGATATAAAATAGACATTAAATTTCATACACAGCTTTTAGCCTGTCGGTGGATGACAGCATGACATGACATGCACAAGGAATCGATACAGGAAACATGCGCGCGCGCATATAACCCAGAATTAGCAATGTCTCCGTCGTCTGCCGTCAGCCAACAAACGGTCACGTCGTAAACGGAACTGTATTGCGAAAATTGTTTTAGCTAATGCATGTGTTTATTATTATTGTAACACAACTTGCTATATGGAAGTATGAATAATTTTAAGGAATATTTCTAGCAGAAAAATAATAAGTAAGTGGATTTATTTAGCTTGAATTCCCTAGGATCATTGGTAAGTTATTTACTTCGGGTTTTCTCTATGAGTGAAGCTACTTAGCTAAGTTCCGAAGTACTTACGGTGTAGGTATGACTCAAAATAAATGTACAAAATTTTTAATTACGAACATTTTTGCTGCGTCTACGGCGCGTCATTTAAAACATCTAATCATACTGAGCTGCATACCTTTCCTTCATGACACTTTTATCACAGCAACACATTAGACTGAATATTTTAAAAATAAAAACATTTAGTGACGTACGTAGTTAGTATAACCAAAACATTAATGCGTGTATACGCTAGACATATCTATTTACAAAGCAATAAATCATTAGTATAACTGAAAAAACAAATTCTGGCTTCATAAGACACTCTCGATTCTACAACACAAATGAAATGTTTATTTATGATAGTAAAACAAAAATGCGATGTTTAGATTTGTTCATGTGTAATTAGTTGGCAGGGTTCCGAGTAGGTAGGAATGCCCGGGGTTGCGTTACAAGCATACATATGCTGGAACAAAACAATTCGTGTGAATGCCGGACAATGCCGGGGCGCGGGGTGACATCGTGTTAGCCACACGTTGCTTTGTTTTCATGGATAACATTCGAATAACGGTTCTTTTGCAACATCTTACGGATTATCTACAATGTAAAATTATAAAAAAAATGCACTACATTAGATAGGTACTCCTCAAGTAGTCTAGAAACGTTCGTTGTTAGCATTTAATAAATAAATAAATAAAAAATAAAACTTCTGCTTTATGTAATAAAGAAATATTGCAACAGTTACTACTAGTTCCTAAAAAAATCCTATACCTACTACAGTCCCAGTAATTTTTACAAAACGCTAGAAGATAGTTGCATGTAATTAGGTAGACTTTCGTAAACAACGCATTCGAATTCAATGTAGCTTTAGTATTTGTTGGAATTGTCCTGAATGCGCATGAGTTTGGGCGTCGTTACCGTCGGCGTCGTCGGCGCGAAGAGATCGCCACACATGGGACGCATCTGTGCGCGCGCCGGAGGTGTACCCTTCCAGCCGAAGTTATAGTCTGGCAAGCGGCTCGTCTTGGCTATTTTTTCCTTTAGAATATTTCGCTTTACGAATGTATTAACATTACCTACGTATTTAAATATTATTATGGCATTTTTTTTAGAATACCTACTGCATGTATGTTTTTTACTTTTTTGTAATCATTGATTTTAAGGGAAATTAAAATTAAACTGTTTCAAATAAAGTTTCTATTGAA